TCATTGTCTAAATTATATGTTATTTGAAAGCAGACAATAGTTGTGGAATTTGGACAAACTATTTCTAAATATTTGAAAATGTGGTGGACTTTTTCTAACTTTCCTTTGAACAATACAGTTTATCTCTCAGCAAGAAGCTCCGGGGGTTCAAATCCAGCGTTTGTCTTTCTGTGTCAGCTTTCATACCTGCGGTGCAAAGCTCTGTGGGAATCGGCAGCCCTTCACAAATGTATGCGGGTGTTAATAAAAGTGCAGGAGTGAGTTCCTTTATGTGAAAAATACAAGTGATTCAGACTGCTGAGATCACCGTGGAAGGTTTTTATTTGCACTAAAAGAGGCTGTAATCTTTTAAAGTTACCGCCCACATTAAAGCGAATCTTCAGTGTCACTCGGTACAGTTCTCTTTACATCGGCTCCACAATACAGAAGATGTGGTGTGAGCTTAATAACCGTGAGTTAGACTTATCTTAAATTAAGGTTTGAAATAATAGCATCTTGCTGGGATTGAACCACCGACCCGCTGTACCTCTGTTCTGCTACACAGGTTCAGTGCTTACATTGACAGCATGATATCAGAGTCCTCTAGTTCTGGGATGGTTTTTACTCCCTATTAATTAAACCTTTATGGTTTTTAAATGTGGCTTAGGGTTTCACATGTTGATGTAACGATCCGTGTCTGCGTCCAGGAGCAGATGGAGGAGCACCGTCCGGGCCTGGAGCTGGAGGAAGGCTGGATCCTGGTGTGTAAGCACACAGAGGGAGGCGACAGGCTGGTGCCGGTGGAGTCCCCGGACACCGTCGGCAGACAACAGCAGCTCTTCGGCTACGACCACAAGCCCTGCAACAGGTGGGAGCAGGTGGTGAACGTGGAGAATGCGCTTTACATCGGCTCCAAACCCAAAATCGCTGAGCGTGACGACACTGCCGTCCAGAAGCTGAGGTGAGCTCCTGTTTGCGTTGAGTTAAAACACGAGAGTCACAACTTTTTTTGTGTTTAGAGAGCCGCAGATTAAACTGATGTTCCCTCAAATCTTTAAGGTACGTCCCTCCCACCTGGGCGTATGAATGCGATGAGGACCTGGTGCACTACTTCTATGACCACATAGGGAAAGAGGATGAGAACCTGGGGAGCGTGAAGCAGTGTGTGACCAGCATCGATGTTTCTTCGTTTTCTGTGAGTCACACACACGCAGGTCTTTGTATGTTTTCCTTAAAACAGGGATGTGGAGATTTGAAATCCAGTGATTCTAGTCAAATAAAACTATTAGAATAAAGCTGTACGAGTATTAAAAGCAATCAAGCATTTGGTTTGTTTATCATCTGCTTTTTCATCTTGATGAAAAGAAAGAAATAGTTCATTTATGATAGTTACATTGAGCAGTATGTCCCTGTAAAATTCTGAATGTATACAATTTGTCAGTGATCGAATTACGTTGATATTTACTGATAGGAAGATCCAAGTAGAGGGGTGAGCTGTCTGACAGACGGCGACATTGGAACTTTCTGGGAGAGCGACGGCGTGCAGGGACAACACTGGATCCGCCTGCACATGAAGAAAGGCACTGTGGTCAAGTAAGGAGCTCAGCAACAAAGTTAATTTTAAAAAAAAGAAGAAGACTTTATCGCCAACTTTACTGTTTAAACGTTATTAATTGTAATCCCACCTGTGATCTTACTGTTTCACTGCATGGACTTTTTCCATGTGGTGTGTAGATGCACACTCTCAGACCACAGTGTGAGGAGGAACTGACGCTGCGGCCAGTTACAGACGTTAATTAACTCACACAGGGTCGCTGAAGTGACAGGATTACATCCATATGAGTCAGGGGAAATGATGTTTGATGTGGTACCACAGCCACATTTTGGTGTATTACGAGGGGAATAACTCATGGTCGCTCACACAGTAAATGCACATCATATCATGCTTGCTTAAAGATGCAAAGTATCCCATATGAACTTTTATTTTTGTTGATAAATAGTGGATATGTCTTTGTTGTACGTATGATGTGCTTGTTTTTGCTCCCCAGTAGGCTCATATTGACGGTGGACTCTACAGACGACAACTACATGCCCAAGCGAGTCACAGTGTATGGAGGAAAGGGAGACAACCTGAAGAAGCTGAGTGCCGTCACCATAGACGAGTGAGCATTTTCAAAAGGATTGTCAACATGTTTCACAGATATGCTTCATTTTACAGTACAGGCGCTTTAGAAGGAAGACTAAAGCCACCAGTTTTGTTTGTTTTAATATTTGAAACAGCTTTTTTAGGCGGGATGACCTACACAATCATATGATGATTAACTACCGTTTGATATTAATTAGTGCATTAAATGAATTAGGAAAATATAATAAAAGGAGAGTGTTATAATAAGATTTATACTCAGAAAGGAACCTCCGTATTATTACAGAAGACCATATTGGATGTTTAATAGAAGACCAATACCTACCTGATATATTGTTCTAGCCGTGTTAATAACGTGATGCTGTGCTGAAGAATCAGAATCTATGTTCTCTTGATAAAAGTATAAAAATTAAAGTGTAATGTGTAATAATGAAGCGTATCTGCACTGAGCCATTTCTTCTGTAGAAGCTGACAAATACCAGGAGTTTACATATTCTGCTTTTTTTTTGCTTCTAGCAACCTGACTGGAGAAGTATGTGTGCTGGAGGATATGACGTCTCACCTGCCTATAATTGAGATTCGAATTGAGGAATGTAGAGGTAAGGCCTTTTAACATGTTTCAATATTTATTTAACCATATATTTTGTCTTTTCGACCTCCAACATTATTCGTTTGTTTTTTTCTGTCCATTTGGCTCTACAGATGAGGGGATAGACGTCCGGATCCGGGGCTTGAAGATCAAGTCGTCATGTGAAAGAAACCTGGGTCTGAACGCTGATGTTTTCCAGTCCTGTAACTTGGTGCG